GAAGTGAAATGAGATGTTAATCAACAATCTGGGTGTCTATTCCACATCTATTATTATTTAATGAGCGAGAGATTTATTTAGATTGCTCGTATATCTGCAATTATAGGTAGGTGGGTAGGAAATTTAATTCGCTTGTAACATTTTTGTAACAAACAAAGAAATCATCAGTAGGAAATTGCTTTGCTCCTCCACACATAATAAATAACTTAATTAATCACACATTCTTGTGATATAATGGAAGGAAGTGCATTACTGTCAACTTTATTAGTTCATGCAAATTGTATTCACATATGGTACATTTCCTTTTACTGCGATTTGCAATTACTCTTTGTTTCTTTTCAGTTGCATTAATTCTTGACAAGCGTAAGTAGATCGACCACTGACCACTTAAAAAAGAATTACGTAATCTAATATCGAGCAATCGTGCTCCTGATCTAATGAAATGAAGTTTAGTTTTCAATGGTTTAGTCAAATGTGCACCATGTATTTTCTTTATTTTTAAATTCTCAAAAATGACATTTCCGAGTTCATTGCAGGGTGTGCCGCTAAATCACAGCAAATGTCAGGTATATGTAAGATGGACCAAACAAAAATTATTGAGATCGACTTGGAAAGGCAAAAAATTCTTACACCTTCACTGTAGTAGAAGAAAGAAAGCCTTACAATTTTGAATAGGTACGGTTTTTGCACAGTGCGGAGATTGGTTCTACCTAGGGCCTATTTCATGTAGCAACTTGTCACTTGTTACTTTGCAATGTCATAATTTTAAAATGCAATAGTATTTTACATTATTAGCCAGGTAAGTGAGTTTTTACTGGCGATAGGAGAAGAAGACTAGCGAGCCGTTAGGCGAGCTTGTCATCTCCTAGAGCCAGTAAAAACTATTACCTGGCGTATAATGTACAATATTTTATTTGTTACTCATTTCTAAACAATAGTAAACGTAAATAATTAGTTCTTAAATTAATCTTGAAGAAATGTCTAAAATATCATGTTATCCATGTAACAGAGACTTCGCATTAATTCTGGCCAATGAAATTACTAGATTACTAACTTGTAAAATTTTTACAGGTCTGCTGTCAGTTTTACAAGTCTGCTGTCAGTTTTACAGGTCTGCTGTCAGTTTTACAAGTCAGTAGCGTTTAAACATGACGTTTACCCGTTTGCGTTTTGTCTTGTTAATCAACGTTTACAACTGAGTAACAAATAAAGATTATTATCTACTCATAAAATACTTTAGCCAATGTAGCATTTCGTGTTATTAATCTCTACTTTACATATTTTTAGCGTTATTACGTGTCAAAATAGTATTTAAGGACCCAAATATTATCAAAAAAAGTGACAAGTGAAAAGTTGCAAAGTTGTTTTATGAAATAGGCACCTGGTTTGATGGTCTTTTAAATCTACTCATTGATTTGATTGCATATAGGCAAAACTAATGAGCTCATTTTTGTGTACCTACTTTTAGAGGAGATCTTTCGAATCATCATACTGACTAGTGTTTCACAAATCAACCTTTCGTTTTGCTTGATGACTTTTAGAGCAGTTGTATTTTTTAGCTTGTGGGCAACACAGAAACAAAAAAAAAGCATATTAGCCAGGTAAGTGAGTTTTTACTGGTGATGGGAGAAGTTGGCTGGCGGGCCGTTAAATGACATTTATTTGCTACTGCCAATGTCAACATTGGTAAAGTTCTCTCTCTCACTCATATACCTAATGCTTATTGGGTTTCTTTCTAGCTTATTATAAGTGACACCCACAATAATTTTTTTTCATACCTGTATACTTATATCCATTTTGTACTATTTTAACGCCATCTTTTGGAAAACTTCGGTTTTTAAGTTGTACTCGTGATATTAAATTCGCGCGTATGATATGTACACGTCAATAGACGTCAGCACTATTCTCTCTTGGCTAGCTGCGCGCTCACCTATTTATATCAAACTAAACCGGAACCAACGAAACTTTGGACGCTGGCGTCTATTTTAAACCAACAGCAAAGTAGAAGCTTTCGTTTCTAATGCAATTTTAGTTTCGCTAAAAGGGAACCGCTATATTTTTTAGGTTCGCTGCTATGGTAACAACCCATGTGGTTTAGATGCGTTCGTTTATCGTTTACAGGCCGGAGCTCCCGAAGCTCGTTGTTGCGAAATACGTTCAGATGCAAAAGTTATTTTTTAGTAAATAAAACCATAGTGTAAAGAATAATAAACGAGAAGGTTTGATTTCTTTATACCGTGCTTTGGTCATAAAAATTCAGACTGGTTATAAATAGGCACTTTTTTTGTTTACAATACAAAAATACCTTTTTCGGTCACTTTCGTTCCTGTACGGGTGAATACATGTCCGAATGACGAAACCAAAAAATTAACATATTATTATAAGCTTCCGCTTTGCGCTAAAGAATCGCATACAATTTTCAAAAGTGGAATTTTTCGTCATTCGGCTCACATTTAGAAACAAGTCTTTTAATCCGGGTCATATTCAATAGCAGTGACCCTTGAACTCGTATAAATCGATTGGCGAAGTATTGACACCGCTGTCTCTTATCATTCTCGAGTAAGACGAGGAACAGACGCACGGATAAAACCGTCACATCAGGGAGATTTTCCGAAAAAAAATTTCTGAACAAAATAAGGATTGGCATAAAAAGCTTACAATCGTTTGGGAGAGTGTCTATCGCGTACATACACCGGGTTGGAAAAAAGTTTAATTATAATGTGTAATGGCTTCACTTCGCGTTCACCCATTGAGTCGCGACCGTAACGATTTGACAGTATTTAGTAGATACACATGTGAATTAGTACAATCATTGAATAATATTCAGATTTATTATTCAATGGTACAATCTTTATTGACCCATGCTGTCTGCAATTTTTTACATTGGAACCCTATAGCCGCCGTTCTTACACAAAAAGCTGTTATCAAAGTTGTTTCCGTTTACTGTTAAATATAGTATGTAGTTAAACAGTTAGGTACCTACAAGTCTGTATTCAATAGCCATCATTCATACAGTTGAGGAATCATTAACGATGTTGAACCGTTAATGTTTGTAAATATGTGCAAGATGATTAACATTTTAACAACCGAAATGTCTCATGTCTTGAATTGGCCTCACTTAAACGTCAAAAATATTCAAAGGACCAGACCATAGCTTTACCTATAATTATAAATTAAATTGTGCAATAGAAGTACCTATTACATACACAAATGTACCGTTAGGTGTAACAGTATTTTTAAACATTGATACATTTACTTCTTTTTATTTCAGCAATTGAAGACATTTATTCAAATTCGTACGTGTCACCGAAGTCGGAGGACGAAAGGTTAGGACCGGATTCGTCGGAGTCGCGGGTTGATGTTACATCCGGCCCAAGTGAAATTTATGTATCAGAAAGTAAAACAATGACACATTCCAGTGAAACTAAATTACACACAACAACCAACCGTAGAATAGAGAGATCGGCGGATCCAATTTTATCCCGACCTAGCGGAATAGAAGAGTTGTTGTCATCAAAAAATGTTGCAGACAATTTAGATTCAAATGATGTAGAATTTTCTGGTAGAATTGCTCCGTTCATTCAACCCTCGAAAACGCTAAAAGAATACCAAAAAATGTACTTGCAGCAAACCTCTATTAGTGAATTTTTCAATTCGGGGGAAGTAGAAAGGGCTCCGCAGGCGAAATCTCTTTCACTGACGGAGCCCTTGGAAATGCAGCCCACTGCGACGACAACTCCGAATTTTGCCACACAATCATTGCAGCCACCAAAACCCCGACAGGCTAGCGCAGATATTCAAGATATAATAACGGGAATCGTTAAATTACTAAACGGTAACGTAAATGTTCAAGCCAACACTTCGCCGCCGATGGGCAGACCTTTGCGTCCAGTGAGTACAAGAATTAACAACCGCGGACCACCGCGCATATCGGATGTTCCCATTTTACCACCAGATTTTGATGCCGGCACACCACAACTACCCCTTCCTCCTTTAGGACCTGTACCACCCCCAGTGGGGCCAACAAAGGTTCCAACCCCCTACCCTTTTGATTTTCCTCAAAACACCTCACCCATTCGACCTCATATTTCACTCTTAGAACAAATGAATAGGCCCGGTATGCACAGACCTTTAATTCCCACGTGGAGCCGACCGAATGGACCATCAAATGGCTCTCGCCGTCCAATCAATCCTTACCGAAGACCTAAACCTCCTTTTAAACCCATACCTATACATAAACCGGACGAGGGATCAACAACTTCGACAGAGAAACCAAATGTCAACTCCGATCCCGAATTAGAAACTAACTTTCCAAGTGACGATGGTGATACAACAACTGATCCTGACGGAGACGACTCACTTGAAATGACGACACTAATTTCTACTAACGACGCTGAAGAGTTGGACTACGAAAAAAATAAAGAAAAAAGCAGTTCCAAAATGGAAAAACATACAACTAGACTCCAAAGTAGTAGTGAAGCAATGAGCACGTTATCATCGAATTCTTCTGCTGTTGAAACTTCATCATTAGCAACTGTCGATCCTACAAAAGTGGCAATGCCAAGTATAACTTCTACCACAGAAACTAATATCACACTTACTGAGAACAACACGACTGATTCAATTACTTCAATAGCGACACCAACCCTCGAATCTTCCATACAAGAAGTTTTACAAACTCTCAAAGACGATCTTCTTTCTTCCTCCACTATTAGTACAGATTTATCTCAAATTTCTATTTCCCCAACTCCAACCTTAGACCAATTAGAAAAATTTAATGTCACCACAACGGCAACCCCGACTCTGCCTCTAGGTAAGCACCTCTATTTTACACTTCTGGTAATTATGTGATCGGTTTTAGAAACTACAAATACTACTAGCCAAATACAACCGCTGCACTCATACCGACCGAGACCTGGAATTGTTCTGGATGACACAGAGTACAAACCTGGTGGGAATCGTCGACCTCCAATTATAACCGCCAGGCCGCAGTTGGGAGATATATTCGATATTACGGTTTCCGCAATTCAAGGACCGGGAGGATCTCCGTCGAGAGGTCAGGGAAAGCCTTACGTTGTACCAGGTAATTTAAGTTCCTCACTTTTATAAAAGGCCTAGCAACTCCCATTAAGTACGAAAGCGGACCCTTATTTACTGTAACCCCGACAGATGATTAAATATCCTCTCAATAGGCAATTGTTTTTCGTTTCATACTCATATCCGCCAGCTGATGGTATAGTTTCATTGTTTGATGGCATGTGACATTTTTTCTTCTATATGACGTAACTTTACGACACCTCTGCAGACATTATGCCATCGGACCAAAACGGCTATGGCAAATGTCACTTTTTCTGTGTGATAGTTGCAGCTCTGCCAGCAACCACTTCCAAACAGTTTATGATACTTGGCTTTCACCTCCAGTTTAAGTAAAGACAGTAGCCATTTCGCATTTCTGGAACTTCTATCATGGATGTCACTGAAGCAGAACCCTTTCCTCAACATCATTGACGTGCCAATAGGAATGGTAGTTGACACATTCACAGTCCCTGCTTTAGTTTAGTACCTACCAGTGAACTACGACATACCAAAACTTTGTTTTGTGATAGATAGCTATCCTTTTAACTTGCTCTCCTTTTTAGTGGACATTGACGGTATACAAACGGGCGATGTTATTACAAGCCCCGTAGGCAATGAAGGCTTTGTATCAATTGATGGAAAACGAACTTATCTGAACTTATTCGGCGAATCAACAACGGATGCATCAACCGATACTATCAATATATCTCCCACAACTAGCACACCGGTCATCGGTACTGGCTTTGCAGTACCTCAAGTAGATATTCCAAAACAACCTGAACACAAAACAACCGTTCAGCCGAAGCCTACGCTAAGAAGACCACTATATGGAAGACGTCCCAGTCAGCCATCAGTTAGGTTCGTTTTGTTACCTAAATTACAACGAAATGCTAAAAATATTTTGCAGAATAGACACCTGTATAGTTGGGGACGATTCCACCTGCGACCGAACAAATAATGAGGTATGCAAGACTGAGTTGGGTGTGAGCGCCTGTCACTGTAGTCCAGGACATGCCAGAAGACAGCTACGTGATCCCTGTAGAAAAATTGTATCCATGGTGATGTCGCTCAGAGTGGATCGTTTGTATGAAAGACGCGTGGTTTGGGTGTCCGATTTGGGAAACAAAGGAAGTGATAGTTATCAACAGTTGTCATATGAAACTGAACGTGCCGTAAGTATTAAATAATTTAAGTACAAATATAAACCTATACTTTCTTTGCCTTTCACTGTCCCATTTTCATAAGTTTAGCTATTAATAACTACGAAAGTAACGTTGAGTTATGTTTGTTAGACTTTTTACACTTGATGAATTTTTTCTTCTTTGTACATTATTGAATTCAGGCGTTACATGCAATTAGATTAGATTTGCTGCCAATATTCAAAGATGCGTACCTATGTGTTAGTATAAAGGTAAATGTCCAGTAAACTCTTCATGTTATTATTTTTCGGGTAAATAAGTCCGTTCCAATGTTCCAAAGTCAGTGCAAGATCCCTAGAGTAGGTACGTCTTATGAACAGAATATTGAAATTCATTTACTGGAAGCCGTCACATTTGATTTCTGCAAAAGTATGGGTACTCCTCATTTCTTCAATTAAAACACAGCAAATTCGTTTTCTGGTGTAATATTAATTAACAATATACAATCATCACTTTTTTCAATGCTGTTGTGAATTGACCAATTGGCGAACTGTTGGTATCCGGATGTTTAGTCATAATTGAAATACATCTGTAACATTTCTATTTTTTTGCTCTTAATAAACAATCCAGATATGTACTTACGTTTAATGAAAAACATTTGAAAAAATGAACGTAAAATTGGTTGCATATCTTAAGGGGTATTTGACTGGTATGTTTAAGAATTGAACATAGGAGATTTGTATGTTCAGTGTTAATATTTACGCACATAGATCGTTTAGAAAAAGGACAAAAACTATCTCAAGATGTTTTCTCAACTCAAAGGATACCTAGCAAAGCTATGCTGAACACACATTCATATGCTGCATACGCTGCTTACCCGTCTCATAAGGCCACCATCATATTGTTTAGATTAAAATTTCTTTCTAATATTACAGATGGAATCGGCCATGTCCATGACACCGTTTAGCGATGAATTTTTGGGTATCAAAGTGAACAATATTTACAAGGGAGATCGCTCAGCAAGTCAAAGTGGAGTGTATGTCAACATCACACTACAGCTTGAAGCAAATGGAGATACGTCACGGCCTACAGTACGAAACGATATTCAAAGACATTTATTGGGAGTAATACAAAGACGAAGCAATAACATTGGAAATAGCGCACTATGGGTGGATAGTCCACCTGGTTCCATTTCTAGTCTTCAAGGTATTTAGTACTTGTGTTGCATCTAAGATTCATTTTTATATACACCGCAGTCAATTGCATTTTGAAGAAAGAACCCTATTCCAAAATAGGCATGTTCCAATTTTGCTTGTAATGTTAAACTGTGAAAGAATGATTCTAAGACATAGTATCTTTGGTGGTTTGCTAATGTTTCTAATCTTCTAATCAGATTTGGATGAATGTTCATCTCCAGAACTTCACGACTGCCATTCTCTAGCAGTTTGCATCAACGTATTTGGAGGATTTAAATGCGAGTGTAATGAAGGTTTGAAAGATCCATGGGCGGATCACAAACATCAGGCGGGACGCCATTGTGAACAATGTTCTAGTCAGCACTGTAATAATAGAGGCGAATGTAAATATCACAATGGGCAGGAAGTTTGCACGTAAGATTCACCATAGACACATGAAGGATAATTTCACAGAGAACTATTTGTAGATGCACGGGAAGTTATTATGGATCTCAATGCGAGGTCGATGGAGAAATTTTGGGGGTTGCTATCGGTGCTAGTGTAGCGGCAGTAGTTATTATTGGTCTTACCTTGGCATGCCTGATTATGTGGAGGTAAGTGAATTCCTTTTTTAAGGTGCAGAAAGAGAATTTATAAGAGGGGCTACATTAAAAGGGTTGTTAACAGAAAAATAGGGAACACATCAAACCTCCACATAGCAATTACATTATGTATTGTGATTCAAACTGAAAGCATTAATATTTATAGATCTCTATAAGAGCATCTGCCTGCATAAAGAGGATAACAGAGAAAACCTCCGATTTATTAATATGTGACCAGATTTGATAACAGTTTATTAAAGTAACTTTTGCGGAAATTCCATAGGCTTTAAACACTAATACAAATAAATACCACTTAGCAATCTCTTGTAAATACTAGGCACATTCATTTCATACAAACGTAATACAATGGACATAAATTTTCACTGCCTTAATGCTTTCTTCAGTTCAGTCTTGGGGAAGATGTCTAAGTAAGTGATTCGTTTCAGTCGTCGTTGGAGTAGAGATCAAAAAGCAGGCGTCGGCAGTCCAGTGTTTGGTTACATGACCAACCCAGGCAGTACGATGAAATCACCAGTTGTTGGCGGACCTTATCATGTGACGATGGAAGACAGAATACGATGGGCGCAGATAGCAGACGTGATGGCTCAATCCAACCATTATGCTGTAAGTTAATAATTGCTTAGTACTAACTCTCTATATAGCACTTATTACTATTACTTATATGGGGATTTACTCAAGTGTCGTGGGGACCTATTGAACTTTATAGATTAGATGGTAGAAAGAAACATAGTTATACAGTTATGTACAGTGTGGTCCAATTTCGATGGGATTAAATGGGTAACTTTCTTATCAGCGCAGATAAATGAAAACAAATTAGGTACTTGTGACCTAGCCTTTAATGTTTACTCCATTACCATTGCCAGAAGTAGGCTGCCGTCTTTTTTTCCCTAGAGAGAAAAACTGGAAAATGAAAAATTTGCTGTAATTTCATTATTTTTGAAGTGAGAACAAAATCGCTTTAGCATTATTCACGCAATTTTTAGCGTGGCAATCAATGCCGTCAGTCGTTGGTTTATAGCCCTTGTAGTAACTCGAAGTTGATTTTTTTAAATAGAAATTATAGTTGGCCACGTTTTCAAAAGATTGCTTGTCTTACAAGCTTTCCGAAAATGTACTCGCATAACATGTCAACATATTGTCAATAATAAATTCTCTACAATAAATTTTGTCTGAAAATAAACAAAAAAATAGTCGCCTATGAAAAACACTTGACAGCTGTAGTTTGGTTTTTTGATGTTGCCTAAAACGCCATAAATAATATTATATTTTTAGAAGTTTTTAGAGGCACACTTACATGTGATAGATATATCCAAACATTACAGCACAATTTGGAAGATTTACTCGATATCATTCCTTTGGAAGACGAACAGTTGTTTTTCAACAAGACGGTGCCCCACCTCATAATGCGTTAATTGTTCGAAATTATGTAAATGATCTTGTACCTAATAATTGGATGGGAATGCAGGGTCCAATAAAATGGCTAGCACGTTCATCCGACTTAAACTCATTGGATTTCTTTTTGTGATATTTTTTGAAAAATAAAATTTATAAATATCCTTCTACAACTGAGGAAGAATTACGGGAAAATGTAGAAAGATCGTTTCAAAGAGTTCGACCACTAGAAATCCTGAGTGCAACAAGATGTTTCATAGGCGACTATATTTTAAATTAACTTTGAGTTACAGCGTAGTTATTAAAAGGGTTAGAAACAAACGACTGTCGGCTTTGATTTCTACGTTAAAAAGTATCTGAATAATGTTTTGTTCTATCTTCAAGAATGAAGGAGTTACAGCAAATTTGAAGAATCGGCCATTTTTCAGATTCTCACTCTAGGAGAAAAACAAAAGACGGCAGCTTATTTCTGGCAACCGGTATGGAATAAGCATGAAAAAAGAAATCACGAGTACCTAAGCCGTTTTCGTTTATCTGCGCTAATAAGAGAGTTACACATTTAATCCCATGGAAATTGGACCACACTGTACAATAGTGTACATCCCTCCACCGGCTAGGGACGCGTCTACATCTTTTTAATAATGTACACAAAAAATAGTCACATGAAAATACTCGAGCACATCAGATATTGATAGTGTATATGTCCCACGTGTCTCTGATATTGGAGGTATGTTAATTTGCCGGTATGCATGGTGAGGGAAGGGATCGAAGGGTGGAAAACGGGATTTATTGGAGGGCGTCAGATATTTAGGGTGTTGTATGTATAATTTATGACGCGACCGCCTATAATCTCAGTCAACAGACATTACTTCTGTTGTTCGTGAATAATTTCCTTCTAAAAAAATCCAACGCGCTTGAGAATGTCAAGGTAATGTTTTTTTTGCAAGTTTGCGACCTTCCCACTCCCTTACGTCACGCTCAACTCGTGACATTATTGAAATGCGCACTTTTCAACACGTAGTCAACCCACCTTACTTTAATCTGACGCGCTCGAGTAAATCCCAAAATCCCCTATTAGGCTCCCCTACTATAACTTGAAATAAAGGTCCACTCACACTAACGCGAAAATGCGGGAATGGGAGCCGGATGGAAGTGGGATATATATGTACAGCGGGAAGCGGCAAGTGTGGACAACAATGCGGCGGTTCGCATGCACATCCTGCTGTACATATTACAGGGTGACAATTTGAAAACTTACCACCCCCCATATCTTAGTAAATAAACGAGATATTAAAAAAATCAAAATCCGTTTCGGTAATTCGGAGGGGGAATCACAATGACATAGTTGGCGACGCACCCCCTCCAACCCCCTGCGCCCCAACTTATAAATCTTAAATAGTGACCCCCCATGTGTGATATGTCGTTGGAAAGCTCTGAAAAAATGCTTTCCAACCATACCAAATAGCATTACATTTAGGTTAGTAATTATCGTGCAAATCAAAAAATAAACTAATATGATACATTTGAAATCTGTCGTATCTAAAACGCAACCGGCGAACATTAGACGAACTAAGAGAGAGAATAATTCAAGAATGTCGAAATATTGCAAAACCAACATAGGAAACGTTCGACAAGAGTTTGAGAATAGATTATAACGGGCGATCAAAAATGAGTTGCTGTCGAGTCGGCTTTGGAAGTCCAAGTTAAATGCGATTTTCCATGTTTATTTTTTGATTTGCACGATAATTACTAACCTAAATCTAATGCTATTTGGTATGGTTGGAAATCATTTTTTCAGAGCTTTCCAACGACGTATCACACATGGGGGGTCACTATTTAAGATTTAAAAGTTGGGGTGGCTGGGGCGCAGGGGGTGTGAGGGGGTGCGTCGCCAACTATGTCATTGTGAGTCCCCCTCCGAATTACCGAAACGGATTTTGATTTTTTTAAATATCTCGTTTATTTACTAAGATATGGGGGGTGGTAAGTTTTCAAATTGTCACCCTGTATATATACTTAATACTTAAAATTTAACTTTTTGATATTATGATGCAAAAACACTAACATTTCAGCCCTATCTGCATTTAGTCTATTTCTTTTAGGCTCGTAAATATTACCCAATTCACTAAAAAGTTGTTCACTTGACACACTGGCAGCGGGTGCTGAAAGGTAGACTGAAGCTGCGTTGTACAGAATAGGTAATTTGTTTTTTTCTGCCTTCCACCACTCAAAAGGGGATTTATCTTTTAATAGAGTTGAAGATGCCAAATATAATATTATTTCATTTTCCCAACCTTGCTTTTTTGTAGTACTGGTTTCGGAAGCTGAAGTAGAGGCAATGATCTCAAAAGTTTTTGCTTGACCGTGTCTAAATAGTAACGCCATCTATTGTTTGCCGATACGATACGATATATCGGCACGTAAATATCGGTATCGGCCGATATATCGTATCGGCAAAAAAAAGTGATATCGTTCTATCACTAATAAGCAACTTTAACAAAATTGCTAATATGTGTGACATTAACACTTGCTCAGTATCTGATCTTAAAAGATTGATGGAATATTTTCAATCTTATTTTTAATCTTGTTTAAGTTTAATATCCTTTAATTTGGTTTTTATTAGGTTAGCGGTTAAGATATTAGTATATTTAGTTATTGTGCTTTCTTAGATTAGTAATTGTCCTATAATTGGAATTTTATTCTGTTGGGCAATAAATCATATTATTATTATTACGTTGGGCATCTTGTCTTGAATGGCGATCGTGAACGCGTCGCTCCATAAATGTTTGTTGTTATTTAATGCAGGTAGTAATTTTTGCATTTCTTTATATCGTATTTGTGTTTTGTATGTCGCATTTTTTGTGTGTTTCAATCTTTGTTTTTGAAATATACTTGGTTTAACCGCAATGCAGAATCACATATTTGATACCGTTATCCTTTTCTTTGTAATCGTTTACGTTTTTGGTGTAATATTTGCTTAATTTATGTTTATTGTTAATTACTTGGTCTTTCCCTGAAGTAACATTCATAAGCTTTGATTTTTCTTTTAATATGTGGAAATTACCGATTCGTTTTGTATGTATTGACTTGTTGTTTGTAACTAACATTTTCTCCATGAATGAAGCAGTCACGGGGGTGGAAAAAAACTGTAATCAAATTGAGTTACGACACCCAATTCCGTGATTGTCTTCGACATTCAACTGTAGGCTCGAAATCCCGAACGAGGGGCGAAGTTACCTATCTAGCGGGGGCGAGATTATGCTAATCAAAACTCTTCGGTTTAGAATCTATATACGATAAATGAGCTACGACTCGCTAAGTTCTATATATTTCTGCCGATAGTTGAATTTCCCTACAAGCCCATGTAATTTTCCATCTTGCTTTTAACAAAAAAACTTTATTGCACCAGAGATCAGTCACATCCTGTACTCTGAACCCTTTCTCAGAATTTAGGTACCTGCTCCTACCTGACCCTTTGTTCAAAATTTGTTTTTAACCTTGAGTGTATCCAACTTGGTGTATATGCATTTACTATCTTTGTTAACCACTGGTCTTAGATGTGTGATCACGTGCCACTTTTCAAATTTAAGCGGGATCTTTTAGTTTTGGAGGGAATAGTAATTCGGGCGGCTATTTTTAAACGTTGCCGGGTTGACTTTATTTCCGTGTTCTTGAGTGTGAAGTTTGCGTAGAACCTGGCGGTTAAGTACACTATAACGCTATGCGTGAAATACAATAGGTATATGGTTCACATGGCCGCCTCGGGTTTTCTGGCAACAGTCGATCCTTTTGCGGTAATTTTTGATGACTTTTTGGCACATTTCGGGTGGCATTAACATCCGACAAAGCATTACGAACTGCAGTCACTAATCGGTCGGGCGAAGAAGCATATTTGTGAACGCAGACGCGTCCACATGCATGCGCAAACTGGCCCTTCCCAACTATTTCGAAATGTGAACCCAGTTTTAATCACGATTGAATGTGAGCCATAATGCCCATTGAATTTCCAACGAATTTTACTTGATAATACACGGGAATTCATTAGTTTGTGGAGAATTTTTCGGCCTGACCTTCCTTGGTCAAAAATTGTATTGCTTCTGTGGTCTGTGCCCAAGTTTTATCACCCATTCTTCAACATACAATATTATAATGTACTCCACTTACCTACTCCTACACTTATAAATGCTGAAGTTTGACGATTAAAAATTATTGCGTTTCGTCATTGTTTTCATGGC